TCACAATTCAGATTAGCCTTTTATTAATTTTGATATGATGGACTCCCTAGAGCACAAAGTATATCACGTTGAACATTTAACTCAAGAATGGAGCTCAGAAATTAACCCCAGCAGACCTTACAGTCTATACAGGGAACGTGTGTGTTAGGGGAAGGGGCACGCTAGAATGGATGAGAAGGGTACCAAGAAGGTGACTAAGCCACAAAGGCCTATAGTTAATTATATCCAATTTCAGGGGATATTCTTAATGCCTGAAGCCTCTTCCAGTTCTGGTCTAAGTTTTTCTTCTCTTCAATGCATTTCTCTTAGGTTTTTAGTAGTACTGATTTCTTAGAAATAGACATTTGTCCTCTCTTTTTAGGTTTTTCTTATCAGAGAAAGAAAACTCAAAAATAAAACATACAGCCTCTAATCACCTACTTTCTCTGGTCTCTCAAGAGGCCAGTTTTAATCATTCACCTTTTCTTGGCCATCCAATGTCTACAATGAGACAAAGGTGAATGTCTGGAACTGCGTAAGTTCATTTCATTTACATTAAACTAATTTTAAAGGATTCTCTTCTTTACCTTCAGAATTTGAGTCCTTCCTTTCATACCAACTCTCTACATTCGGTAGCATCAGTACCATCTTTTAACCTAAACACACAAATATTAATCATGATGAATCCTTTCAGTTCTTATTTTATTTTTCTTGAACAACAGATGAAGACATTTTCTAAGCCAGTGTTTATTTTCACTCCATCTACAGACTAGAATTACTTGTAGAACTTTTTAAAAATTACCAATGCCCAGGACCCACACAAGACCACGTGTGAATCTCTAAAGGCTGGACTCAGGCATCTGAACTTCTTTTTAAAGTTCCCCCACCCTGACTCAATAAACATGAATTCAAGCAAACTTCAGGAGATAGTGAAGGACAGGGAAGCCTGGTATGTTGCAGTCCATCAGGTTGCAAACAGTCAGACATGACTTAGTGACTGAGCAACAAGAAAAAATTGATATATTCTCAAGAATCAGAGAATTTTTTTCCCTCAACCATGTTCAGTGTACTAATAAACTTACCAGAGGCATTCTTCAAAAAACAAAAACAAAAAATAAATTAAGTTCCCCCAGTGATTCTAATGGATTGTCATGGTTGAGAACCAAAACCCTTAGCATACACAACAGCTAGTCACAAAGAGATAATCCAGTGATAAGAACCATAGTCAGAGGAAGCTGACCCCAAATTTAGATTTTTTTTTGCAATGGTCAACTCAAAGAGCAGATCACTGCCCTGTGGATAATTAGGACTTGACTTGATAACTAGGATAACTGACTTGAGTACTACATTACATAAAGTACTACACTACTTGAAGGAACCAGAGATCAAACTGCCTACATCTGTTGGATCATCAAAAAAGCAAGAGAGTTCTAGAAAAACATCTACTTTATTGACTACGCTAAAGCCTTTGACTGTGTGGATCACAACAAACTGTGGAAAATTCTTAAAGAGATGGGAATACTAGACCACCTGACCTGCCTCCTGAGGAATCTGTGTGCAGGTCAAGAAACATCAGTTAGAACTGGACATGGAACAANCTGGGTGTTCACTGGAAGGACTGATGCTGAAGCTGAAACTCCAAAAGTTTGGCCACCTGATGTGAAGAACTGACTCACTGGAAAAGACCCTGATGCTGGGAAAGATTGAAGGCAGGAGGAGACGGGTACAGCAGAGGATGAGATGGTTGGATGGATCATGGATGCGATGGATATGAGTTTGAGTAAGCTCCGGGAATTGGTGGTAAACAGGAAACCCTGGCATGCTGTGGTCCATGGGGTCACAAAGAGTCGGACATGACTGAGTGACTGAACTGAACTGAACTACATTACATGACTGGATACAGTTTCTGCTTTGGATACAAGGATACATTTCAAAACATAAGTTGAATAGGACTTAAAGATATTTTAAAGAAATTATTAGTCAAAGGTCAAATTTATTCACACTATCTCTTTAGTAGTCTGCAGCATAAGAAGTTATATATTTGCATTATTCTTTCCCCTTCCCTGCTTTTTACTATAACTAATGTAGTAAACTCACGGGAGAGGAGAAAGCCCTTGTTCTCTTTTCTAAGAAGAGATCTCCAATTGGCTTCTTGCGGCAGTGGGTCATAAAGCAGAGAAGGTTGAAGGTGATCAGAAACCAATACACTGTAGGGAATCTAGACATTCTGCAAAGAGAATGGGTGCGGAATCCAGGCCTTCAACAAAGAGGTAAGTTCTGGGTAGCCAAGATGAAACAGCACTTGGTGGTGGGTACTGCGTAACTGCAAGGGCACTGTGGAAACATTCTGCTTATGTGATGGGCTCTGGCACAATATTTGGGTTACACTGAATTTTTCCATCACTAATTGCTTACAAGAATTTCCAAATTGAGCATTTCATTGCTCAAAAGTGGAAAGGTGACTGCAAAAGAACACGTCTAATGTTCTTTAAATGGTCCAATGCAATCATAATTTGGATAAAGAGATATACACTGCTTTGGCTGAGGAATCCTTGACTAAATCGAATGGGATGCTGTTCATCATTTTCTGTAACATTAATGTATCTTTCTCCAGTTCTGTCATTTCTTAAATGCTTTACTTTAAAAAATCTTATTTTGTTCAGATATTTCTTCAAAGCAATTGTTGCCAGGATCCAAACTGGCACTGGAAGGAAACTATTTATTTGCAATAAAAAGAGATCAAATCTTAGGATTGCATATAAGCCATTACCACTCTTTCCAAGTGATTTAGAAATCTATGTCCTAATGATCCCAATTTACTTTTTCTGCTAGATTCTAAAAAATTACCTGAAAACTGTGAAGCAGTCTTTGTTTAGTAAATTCTGTCTTCTCAATGTCTTGATTAGGTATTAGGCACTTACTGGAATATGTATATGTAATTTATTAGTGCCTGAACCACAATCTTAAACTAATCGCAATGTTTCACCAATTATAACACCTTCTAAATGATAAAACTACCATATAATTTCTAAATTACTACTACTGCACCACACCTTTCTTTTATATTAATGGCTTAATCTTGAAAAAAAAAAGTGATGTTCCTAAAGCCTTGCAATTTGTTTTGAAATTCCTGAGCACTGAGCTGCCTAACTTACAACATCTGTCTTGAGACCTGATTGCTTCTTCGAGACTTTGAAGTTTATACTCTAAATTCTTATTTCTATACTTACTACTCATCTATTATCTTCATTTTTAAGATACTCTTCCTTTGTCATCAAGAGCATCTTTAAGAGAGGTCATTCTTTTTTTAAAAAAAGGAATTCTCTTTTAAAAATTTCCCAAATTCAAGAATTAACTATTTAGGAGACAAAAACAGGAGTTTTGCTGCAGAGAAATGAGAAAGTTATTTTTAAATACTTTAAAAATATTGATAGAGAATTCTTCTTTTGGATTGTTATAATTGTATCCTGTCATATGTAAGGAAAGTTTTCCTGTGTACACAAGACTTATTCCCTTTTGGACAGTTTTCTTGATCTTCAAGCACTGCTCTAACAAACAGGGAGGGTGTCAGTAACTTTAAAGAAGAATACATACCTTTTCTTTGATAGTTAAGTAATCAGAAGAGTAAAAAAGGCCAAGAGAAGAAAAAACAAAAGAAAGAAAAGCCTTCTTGCAAAAGCAGGTGTACTACAAAGCTCAACTAGTTCACAGACTGAGGACACTGCTTTTTATAAGCTTTTTCTCCACTGGGAATGGTCTTCTGAGTCTCCCTTTCTCTGCTTTCCATCCCTCGAGTCCTAACCAGGTTTTTTTTTTTTTTTTCTTTTTTGCTTGCGAGAACGGAAAAAAAAATTGCCAAGGCAGGCATATTCGGTACATTTCACGGAGGCTTTTCTATTTTCAGAAAGTTTTACCGTTCCCCAGATGGCTCCCAATTGTTCTTAGACACACGGAGAATCTAGGCTTCCTCTAGACCCTTCTGAGAATCTATTTCGTGACAACCAGGAGTCCACCGTACCCGCCCAAGATGGATCTCCACAGAATTTCGAATTTTGATTCCACATCGTTTGTCGACCCACGAAAGCTCATCTTTGTACCCCAAGTTAAAAACATGCGTCTAGAGTGAAAAGGTAAGGAAACCGCTAATACCTCTCAAACGGCTAAAGGACCCCCTGCAGCCTCCCAAGGAGAGTTCTGGACGCAGCCAGTGGGACTTCGGACCTTGACCATACGCCGGAGTTGGTGGTATCCCCGCTACGCACTGGATTTAATCCGAGGAAAAGTTAACTTTCGGCTCTTCGCATTTCTGCAAAGCCCGTCCGGTAGGGCCCGAACCGAAGCTGGGCCAAGGCCTCAAAATCTGAGACCAGGCAAGACAGGTGTGTAAGGAAAGCCTCCGGGTACCACCGGTCGCAGCACACAAACCCTCCTGAGGACCGGGGGGCGCCCCGGGCTCCCCGATGTACTTACTCCCGGTTTAAGCATAGTCCGCGACGCCTTGTCGCCTGCTGGTAACGCTTGCATACTCCGAGCCACCCCGCGCAGGGTTTAACACTGATGCTCCCCCAAACCTCAGCATCTCCGTAGGAGCGAGGCAATCCTCCGGGGCGTCCTTACCTTGGGGTTGGTCAGGAGCTGTGAGTTGGTGGTATCCCCGCTACGCACTGGATTTAATCCGAGGAAAAGTTAACTTTCGGCTCTTCGCATTTCTGCAAAGCCCGTCCGGTAGGGCCCAAACCGAAGCTGGGCCAAGGCCTCAAAATCTGAGACCAGGCAAGACAGGTGTGTAAGGAAAGCCTCCGGGTACCACCGGTCGCCGCACACAAACCCTCCTGAGGACCGGGGGGCGCCCCGGGCTCCCCGATGTACTTACTCCCGGTTTAAGCATAGTCCGCGACGCCTTGTCGCCTCCTGGTAACGCTTGCATACTCCGAGCCACCCCGCGCAGGGTTTAACACTGATGCTCCCCCAAACCTCAGCATCTCCGTAGGAGCGAGGCAATCCTCCCGGGGCGTCCTTACCTTGGGGTTGGTCAGGAGCTGGTGCTCGTCGCTGTGCAGCAGCGCCCTGGAGTTGGACTCGGAGTTGTTCACGTAGACCTGGACGCAGGGGTACTGCGAGGTGCCCCTGCAGTCGGCGCCACAGGTGAAGGTGCACTCGAACACCTCGCCGATCTGCTGCACCGACAGCACCGTGCAATTGGCCGCCGTGGCTTGCAGATCCTGCAGCGCGGGACTGAGCCAGCAGAAGCCGAAGATAAAGAGCGACACGACGCCGGAGATGATGAGAAACAAGCCGAGCCGGATGCTCTTGTCCTCGGCTTCCGTGTACTCGTAAGCCACCCGGAGCTTCGCCATCGCCCCCCACTCCCGGCGGCGGGCGCGCTCCCCCCGCCCCCTCCCGCCCCCGGCGCCGAGCCCGACTGCCTCGGCGGGAGGAGCCGCCGCCGCGCGACAGCAGGGGAGTGGGCGGCCAGGGGGAGCGCGCGAGAACAAAGGGGCCGAGGCCGGCGACGCCCCCCGGCGGCGGCAGCGCCCCCCCCTCCACCTCCCCGCCGCCGCCGCCCGAGCCCCGGAGGCTCGCCGCGCGGCCGAGGTTTCAGAGCCTCCTGCACCCTCGGGCGCGAGGAGTGCACGGGCGGCTCCTGCCTCCAGCGCCCCCTGCCAGCCTCCGCCCCCGCGCTTTCCCCGCCTCCCCCACCCCGCCTCCTCTCGCCCGGTGGCTCCCAGTCTCCATCGCCCGCCGGCCGCCGCTCCGCGGACTCGCCTGGCAGCTGCCCCGAGGGCAGACGCTGCAGGGCTGAGGCGAGCCCCGGGGCTCCCCCGCGCGGGAGGCAGCTCCGCCGGGCCCCACCCGCCGCCGACCTGGGTCCTCCCGCCCCGCCCCGGGGCGTTTCCCGTGGGCGAGGGGCGGGCAGGCGCTGGGGATCGCGGCGCTGGCGCCGGGGATTCTCGTTACATTCCCCTGGAAGGGACATCCGCGATAAGAGGTTAGGATCAATATAACTTAACGGAGTGAAAGTTTAAAAAACAAAACAGAAAACAAACGAGGGAGAGGGTGTCGTGCAAGTGGAGCGGCGGGAATTTTGAACTGCAAACGGGGACTGGTCAGCCAGCGGAGGCGTGCGCTCTCGGGGAGACTGGCCGCCGGCACCAGGCGGATAGGGATGGAAGCCCCCGGGGCTAGCGGCGTGCGCCCGGGCGTGTGCCCCAGAGACACCCGGGCCGCCGGTTCCCACGCTTGGGGCAGGCGCGCGGCGCAGGGCGGGAGGCGTGACCTGCCGCCGCCCCCCCGCCCCCCACTCGGACGAGCGCGGTAACTGTCCGGTCTCGGGGTCCCGGCGCTCCCAGCTGCCCGGGAGCAGTCCACCATCACCCCCACCCTCGACACCGCCCACCCTCGCCGGCCGCAGCCGGGCCTGGAGGGCAGCAGGTCAGAAGTGAAACAGGCTGAGTCAGACGGAGTTTGCGGCGGAGGCAACGCGCGTGGCGGGCAGGAGCCTGCGACGCCCCCCACCCCAGACCCAGGAAACTCGCTTCCTGGGTCCTGGGTGGACCACGCGGCAACGCAGGTCTAAGGGCGGCCGGGCCGACCCCAAGTCTATGTGCCCAAGGCTGGGGCTGACTGACCAGGGACCCAGGGGAGCGAGTGCAGAGGCTTACAGCCCTGGAAGGAGACACCTTGTTCCCCATCAGGACCGGCCTCTCGCTCCAAACCGAGAGCAGAATCCTCTCTGTACTGGCTCCCTCCTCAGGAGTCTTGCCACTGTTGGCCCACCTCGGAATTTGTAGATGAGCTTTCCAGGAGCGCTGTGAGAGGCGACAGCGGCGTGCGGACCCACTCTGGGACAGGTACCGTTTCTAGAGCTGCGTCCTGCTCTCCTAATTGTTTCTGCTGCTCCCTCCACGCCCCCTCCCCACCTCGCCTGTGCATACCTCAGTCTCTGTTCTTTTCCTGACCTTTAAAAAAAAGATTATCTTTTTAAAATCATACTGCTATCAAAATATCAAACTTGGAGAACTATTTCGACCTACATTTTGAAGCATCAGAGTATTCACTTGGCAAAACATATAAACATGTCTTTTTCTTGACTTGCAAGTCCCAAATGAATATACTGTCAATTAAATTCAGTCATATATTCATATTCAGTTCCTGATGAATACGGAAACACCGAATCATAGAATTCTTGACTCCTCTTTCTTGGATTTCAAATGTTAGTTTACTGGTATAGTACTTTTCAACTGAGGTCCTGATCTATTACTTTGAAGTACTCCTTCATTGGTATTTCCAAGCAAGGGGTAAAGCAAGTTTAATTATAGGAAGACCCCAAGTGTTTTTCTGAATAAATTAAGAAGATACAGGGTTTGGAAATTTTCCAAGTCAGGAAGACTCTGTACTTTAATACCTTTCAAGTTTTGAGAGACTATTTTATTATTTTCTTCCCTTTCTGTTGGCATAAAGACAATTGTTAGTGATTACACACACTACCTGAAAGGAAAAGTGAGTTTATTAGTTGAAGCATATTAACCTAAGATTACAGATTTTCAGTGTGAATCTCTTTCCTACAGTGGGTTATAATTATTTTCCTTTTCAAGAGGGCTAAAGCCAATCTAGGATCTGAGGCAGCGGTGGACAGATTAGATTTTTTTGGATCTCATAGCTCTGATATGGTGAGCAACTTAACCTTGAGGCAGAATTAATTTCTATAGCCTTTCATAAAACACAGGGATCGGGTTGTCTAAAAATCATTTAATGAATATGATTCACTTTTCAATGATTCTAGAGCTCAGAGAGTTGTGTGAATGTAACCTTTGCCTCAAAACTGAGGCAAGATGGTCTTCCAAGTAAATCTCGAGAACAAACAACAGAAAATATTGTCTTAACCTAAATTCTTAAAGGCTTTTAAATCCATTTTTTTCCAAGTTCTGCATTTAGTCACTTTCCTTCTTTATAATTATTCTAAAAAAATTTGAAGAAACTGTTGCCATCTAGCCTTCTGCTCTTTACCCCTTTTTTCATACTTTTTTTGCCTTTTCATACTATTCATGGGGTTCTTAATGCAAGAATACTAAAGTGGTTTGCCATTCCCTTCTCCAGTGAACCACGTTTTGTCAGAACTCTTGGCCATGACCCGTCCGTCTTGGGTGGCCCTACACGGCATCTACATTCCATGCAGAGATGAGCACAATAAAGAACAGAAACGGTATGGACCTAACAGAAGCAGAAGATATTAAGAGGTGGCAAGAATACACAGAAGAACTATACAGAAAAGATCTTCATGACCCAGATAACCACAATGGTGTGATCAAGCACCTAGAGCCAGACATCCTGGAATGCAAAGTCAAGTGGGCCTTAGGAAGCATCACTACTAACAAAGCTAGTGGAGGTGATGGAATTCCAGCTGAGCTATTTCAAATCCAAAAAGATGATGCTGTTAAAGTGCTGCACTCAATATGCCAGCAAATCTGGAAAACTCAGCAGTGTGCACAGGACTGGAAAAAGTCAGTTTTCGTTCCAATCCCAAAGAAAGGCAATGCCAAATAATATTCAAACTACTGCACAACTGCACTCATCTCACATGCTAGTAAAGTAATGATGAAAGTTCTCCAAGCCAGGCTTCAACAGTGCATGAACTGTGAACTTCCAGATGTTCAAGCTAGGTTTCAAAAAGGCAGAGGAACCAGAGATCAAATTGCCAACATCCGCTGGATCATCAAAAAAGCAAGAGAGTTCANTGACAAAGATCCATCTAGTCAAAGCTATGGTTTTTCCTGTAGTCATGTATGGATGTGAGAGTGGGACTATAAAGAAAGCTGAGCACCAAAGAATTGATGCTTTTGAACTGTGGTGTTGGAGAAGACTCTTTTTTTTTAGAGAAGACTCTTGAGAGTCTCTTGGACTGCAAAGAGATCCAACCAGACCATCCTAAATCAGTCCTGAATATTCATTAGAAAGACTGATGCTAAAGCTGAAACTCCAATACTTTGGCCACCTGATGCAAAGAACTGACTCATTGGAAAAGACCCTGATGCTGGGAAAGATTGAAGGCAGGAGGAGAAGGGGATGACAGAGGCTGAGATGGTTGGATGGCATCACCGACATGATGGATGTGAGTTTGAGTAGGCTCCGGGAGTTGGTACGGATAGGGAAGCCTGGGGTGCTGTAGTCTATGGGGTCGCAAAAGAGTTGGACACGACTGAGCGACTGAGCTGAACTTACTCCTCTTAATTTCCATTTAAATTAGCTTACTTCTCTTCTGAACCTTTCATTATTTCATGTGTTTCTTACTAAAAGTCCAACATATCAAAAAGACTTTCCATGCTTTTATCTTTAATGGAAAACTGTGTGTTACCAGTTTCCTTTATTTGAACTGGGGCTACCTTTTCACATTTCCAAGAAAGGTTGGATATGTTAGCCCCTCAATTTCTGAAAACAGATTGCCATTGACTCTCTTTAAGTTAGGATAGTAGTAAGAACACTTAAGACATCAGAGATTCTGAGCTCTGAGGCCACTGAGCATCTTGTTTCCTGTGGAGGGCAGAGGCAACTCAGAAAAAGAAAAAGCTAGTCTTTTCTTTGCATAGTTGTCCACCAACTAAAATTGAGATGAAAACTGTAGTACTCAGGACCAGACTAACTCACTTGATGCACTTCTTTGTTTACAGCAATGTTTTTAGGACAATCATGGTCAAGCCTTGATGAGGTTCTTTTTAAAAGAAAAATAAAGCGTATCTAAACAAGGACTTTAAAACCACTGTTATTTATAGTTTGTTCTCATGATCAATATTCCTCAAGAAGTTCTGTGACTGATGTTACAGTTGCAATATACAATTTCATATGTATATATACCTTTATTAAAACATTGTGAAAATAATGATCATAAGTAGACCTATGATTACCTAGGGACAGAAGGGAATTTGGAATATATTGGGAAAATGTTCATACATGATTTTCAAAATTTGCACATTGTGAAGTTTTTCAAACTGATACTACACACTTGGATAGCTAAAATATAGGGTAGAAAAGTAATATTGTATCATCACCTTTTCTCATTAAAATTCACATGCTGGATAGGTTTTAGACATTTGCAATTAGAGAAGAGTAAATATGAATGAAAGCATGAGTGATCCAAAAACAAAAAATATATAGAAAAAACTTATCAAACTTTTTCATTTAGTTATGTAAATTTAGATTTTGTTATTGTCAGAAAATTAAGTTTCCTTTCTGTTTGGTCTTAACTTTAAAAATGCTTAAAGTTGTAATAAATCGTTTCCAGCTTGCTAATATTAACTTTCTTGCCAAGCTTCATTGTGAAAGTAAAATATTTGCTATTAGCGTCAGAATTTTACATTCTAAATAAATTTCCTATGTGGCCACTGTCTTTTCTAATTGCTCTTATTTTTTCCTGTCTATAAATTTTACCTATGATATTGAGCACATAATTATTATTAAGAACATGACTTACTATTTTTAGATAGTTATAATCATGTTAGAACAGGAAGGGATCTTAAATATTACCTAGTTAAATATTAATTAGGAAAGAAAGTTCCCAAATAGTGTGCATTTTGTTTTAAATAGTAAATAATGATTATTAAAAATATTTTTTCAAAGTTCAAATTTATTTGCATACAGCCTTTATCTTTGCAATTGAAAAAGAAAAGCAAAAAACACAAATAATCAC